ATGAGCCATCCAGAATGTTTCTTGGCCAATAAAACTTCTGTTAGCTAAAAAGCCTCGTCTCGTTCTATTTGGTTTTCTGAACTTGGGTAAACAAATAAACAAAGGCGAGTGCCTAACATGGGCATAAGCATGGCTGGCTGAGGAATTCTGGGATTTGAAGTCCACTCATCTTAAATGTTATCAAGGTTGAGAAACACTGCTGTAGAGTTATCAGCTTCCAGCAAAATGTTTTGGAGACACACATCACTAATTCTTAAAGAGAGATCAGTTGAGATGGCATGAAGCTTATCAGGAAAATAGCAGATGCAGATGTCACATTGAAAGGAAGATGCATGTTCCACCCAGGGTGTGGACAGCAACGGTTCATTTTGCTTTGCAGAAGAAATACTCTTACTGCAGTAAGTAGAGAGCAGTTGGCAATTTGAAAGGCTGCTCCCCGAGGTTCCACTTCTGCATTACTGTACATTTAACCAGGTCAGTATGAAACAAAAGCCAAATTCGTGCCTGATATAAGCTATAAAGGAAGTTTGTTTTTCGTATATTTTAATTACCTAATTCATATTTATCTATTTTAATTCACGTTTTATTCTATTTTTACTGTAAACCGCCCAGAGTCACTCCACAGCGGGGTGGGCGGTGAGAAATTTGAAATATAAATCGATATAAATAAATAAACCTTGTTTCATATGCATGTAGATTGTTAGTGAAATCTCGTGGCCGTAATGTCTGTATTTTGGCATCAAATTATATACATAGGTAAACTTCTCCAGAGTTTTTAAAAGTGCTATTCTATGGTTGTGTGTGATTCATATACATATGAACTTAATAAGCAATGAAAGACCACCCAAATGGAAACCAAGTTGCTTTAAAACAAAGTCACAGTTTATTTCTTACTTTTGCTCTGGTAAGAAATGTATATAGTAAAATGTTCAACAGTTCAGGCGGTTCTGTATTCGGTAAAACGTAAGAAAACATCTAGTCCAGTGGTTCTCAAACACTTTAGTTTCAGGACCCCTTTTCATGCTTAAAAATGATTGAAGACCCCAAAGAGTTTTGGTTTATGTGGGTTATATCTATTGATATTTACTGTATTAGAAATTAAAACTGAGACATTTTAAAGTATTTATTTCCTTGACTTCATGGACCCCCTGAAAGGGTCTTAGGGACCCTCAGAGGTCCCCAGACCACCCTTTGTGAGCCACTGATCTAGTCAATGTTTAATTCCACAACTGTGAAACAAGGAGAGGGTTTAGTGTATATTATCTAGCTGGCTTCAGAAAGAACTATCATGTTAGTCAATGGCAATAAAAACTGACATTGGGGGACTTAAAAATCTTTAAATTGCCAGGTTTGAGAAACACTGCATTTGAATGTCTCCCACAGACATCCACCTGTTTGTTTGCTTTCAACGGATTTGTTTCTGAAGGGAAAGGGGTGGGAAGCATTTGCAGAAGAATGATCCCTAGGTCAAAAAATGATGATGAAGGCGGGAAAAGTCCTCATTGAACAAAACTAAAAGAGCAGCTTTTTGCCATAAAAATATGTCCCTCTTCAACCGCTGATGAGAATGAAGAAGGACTAGTAAAACCTGAAATAAGCTGCTGGGTCAGCCGCAAAATAAAAAAAAAATACGGATTGCAGATCAACAGGGAACGTCTCCCTCCTTTCCACAAATGAGAAGTTCAATGAGGCGGAACTCAATTTAGGCGAACGCAGGAGGTCGCCGGAAGGCTATTAAAGTCGGGACAGCACGGACGTCTCTGAGGAGCGGACCGCGTCTCCTAGCAACCGGCCGGGAGCACCCGGAAGTGGGTTAATGGGCGGTGCGGGCTTTTTTTCTCCCTCTCCCGCGTTTCTGGGGGCAGCGAAAGCGAGCGGGGGTAAGTTTGGAGAACAGATGCGGGGAGTCTTCACTGAAACGGGGCAAGTGGGGACTTGGTGGCCCTTGTTTTGCGTAGCGTTCCTGCGCCGGCCGAAGCGATGGCGCGTTTCAATCGAACTTGCTGAATAAACCCCGGTGGATGGGGAACGCTGGGCCTGTCGCCGTGGCGTGGGTCAAACCCGGGGGTGGGGGGTGGGGTTGTGTGAATTGGGCCACCAAGGGCCCCGAGCTGCGTCCTGGAACCGCCTTGGCGGGCAGCAGTTGGGCGAGGAGGGCCGCCTGTTGGTTGGAAGGGACTCAGCGGGGCAGAAGCATTCGCGGGTTGCAAAAGGGCTGGGGTCTCCCTTGGGCTAAGCCAGAATGGGGTGGGGTCTTTGGGGGAAAGATGTTTGGGGTGGGGTCTTTGAGTGGAGGATCTTTGGGCTGGGGTCTTTGGGGGGAGGGTCTTTGTGGGGAGCCCAGCCCCTGCGAGGGAGGCCTGAGCATGGTTGATGGCGCAGAGAGTTATGTGCACCTGGCCAGTCAAGGGCTTATTCTCTTGCTTAAAGGGAAGGTAGTGAACCCAGGCTGACAGGGAGCCACCGAGGTCCTTGAAACCTTATGCTGCAATTCAGTTTTTTGTTTTCAAGACTCAGGAGACTTCTTTCAGTTACGTATGTGCCATGCATTTATTTTTTTCAATTTGGCGACCCTGGGTGGCTCAGGTTACAATAAATAGAATAAAAGGACAAAAAACAAACTAGGAAAAGGGAAGAGCAAGGTGGCGAATTCAGCAGGCCACATATCCCACCAATGTCTAGCATCTGGTGGGGCTCTCCAGCCACCCTGGTCAAACAGCCAGGTATCTATCTGTCTGTCTGTCTGTCTGTCTGTCTGTCAGTCAGTCAGTGTCTTCCCTGTATGAAGGTTGTGCAAATGGTCTTTGTTTGCAGAAGTTCATTTTTCAACTACTAAATAAAGGATAAACTGTTATCCTCTAGGTCTGCTCATCTTTCCTTTAGCTTTTTAAAAAACTTTCCTTTAACTTTCTTAAAAACTTCAATGATGATGATAATGATGATGTATTGATAATTCTTCATTAGGAACCATTTTCTAAAAGCTACAGTTAAACAACATTACTTTTTGCTGTTCTGTACCATGTTCTTGTTTTGTCTCCATGATTCCACTCCAGCAATTTGAACTTATGATTGTTAGAGTTGTAATGAGTTGGTTTGAGGTGTAAGCAGGTGACAGGGAATGGCTAACAACTTTCCCCAAACCTGGCACCTTCCAGGTGTCTTCTGTCTCAACAATTTTAAAAAATTAACATTTAAAGAAGATGGGTGATCCAAACTGCCCTTCATTTTGTTGGACAATATCTCAAAGAAAACAAAGGAACACTAAGTCTGGTACAATGTCATGTGGAATATTTAATGAAATATTGTTGGAGAAACGTAAGAGGAAACATGAGGCAACCTCTAATATGGGTCATTGGTGTAAGGAATCAACCAATGGTTGAGCTTTAAAACCAAGTTGCTGTCAACCTAAAGAGATTTACTTCCCAGAATAATAATCTCCACATTATTTGGAAAACGCATTATGAATTATAGTTTGAATGCCATAGATAAAATTTAAGTGCTCTCTGTCTCTATGAAATCTAGCCTGGCTGTAAAGAGACCTTTCTGGCTACTCCAGAAAAGTCTGCATTAAGAAGCAGTTCCTCAAACTTTTCAGGGTGTGTGGTTGCTAAGAAATGTTTCTGTGTTCTCCTAGTGTGTTCTGCTCCTATTATTCTCTTATATTTGTTTGCATTCTTGTTCCAGATTTGTTTCTTTTTATATGCATTTTGTCAATACTTCATCTTTGAGCTTTGAGCTTTTTACTTATTTAAAATTTTAAAATATATACAGTATTCCAAGCAAAATGTAAGATACCTGGTTCCTTGTTTTCCTAATAAGGCAAAATAGAGGCATTTCTACAGCAGACTTCGTGAACCAGTATGTGATTTTTACCTCTTCCCTTGTTCACTTTCTCCTTGCAAGGTTTCCCTGGCAAATATGTTATTGCTGGGGAAAAAACAGGCTGGGGAATTCAGTTGCAATAGATATGGGGTGGGGTGGAATTAAGCACTTCTTCTCACTTGCCAATATTAGTTTTACAGAAAAATAGCCTCGTTGCAGACTTAGCAGGAGACAGTTTGCAGAGCACAAATGTGTCAAATGTCTATTTTTTTCCCAATGTCTTGCTTTCCTGGAAGCTGCACTTGATCTCTCTAGCCAAACAATGGGATGTGCAAGGTGTTTCAATGCTTGCTACTCCTACAGTTTGCTGTTGGGAGTGTTACCACACTAAGAATCTTATTGCTGTTTCTCCCTCCTAAGCCAGGAGATCAATTTACCTTGAGCATTTACCCACATTGACAGCTGCCCCACATATATAAGTGCTGAAGAGGAATTTGTAGTCCTTCTCTTCTTATAAACTCCATATACTGGTAAAGAGTATGTATCAACCAGACACCACTTTTCTGCCTCAAGAGACTGGGAATTCATCCATAAACAGACATTGCCTCCTGCAACAGCATTTGACAGGCTGATTTTTTTCTGGGTAAATAGAGGCATTTTCAATGCAAATGAATTGCCCCTTTTCCAGGGCAAAATGTCAGAGATCAGTTGTACTTTATTTTAACAGAAAGGAAGTCAGCAGCGGCTTCCTTTTCTGAATATCTCCTTTCCAGTGTACCTGCTGCAAATCAACATTTACATTCTGCTGGTTGGGCCTATCACAGAGGACACAGCCCAAGGGTTTTGCATGACAACCTTGAAACAGTGCTAAAGGACAGCAGTAGCTGGATGTTGTAAACTCTTGCCTCCTGTTTACAGTATATAATGTTGTTTATGTTTGCTATTTCTATGTTATTTAAAGAGACAAGAATTTATTAGTTCCAAGGTCACACGTCACAGATTTTGATGTCACCTTGGATTTTAAAGCGAAAACAGAATGGTTTATTGGGGTGGGGAATCCAAATAATGTGATACTTCCCCTCCTTTGTGCCTTCCACCTAGGAAATCCTGCAGTCCTTCGTAAAATCTCCTCCGTGCCCCAGCCAAAATCAGTAGCTTTTTTATTTGCTCTCTTCTTGTTCTTCTGACACAGAAACCTAAAAGGCAAATGATTTGTTAGAAGGGAGGTAAGTGGTGGGACGAATTTCACTTGCTAAATGTGCTTGTGTTGGATTGCTGCTAAAAAGTACAATAGCCAGCAGAGTACAAAAGCTGGCCTAGAGACAACTTTCATGACTGCTGTACCTTCTCTGCAGCATTGTACTGCAGAAATTAAGCTGGTGATAATGAAAGAACTTAAGCTATATTTTTGGGGGGGTGGGGAGGTCAGCTATTGCTAAAGACATTGGAGCTCTGCAAGAGAAAATGCTGGCAACTCCAGCTGCACTCTCTAATAGCTTACCATTAAGAACCTAGTTGTGTTTAACTGCAAAAATGAGGGTACCTAAGCACATTATGCTGGGGTTTAGAAAGGATCCTGTATTTCTTATTTCCAGGGAGACATGACAAGAATCATGACTTTAAAGATCTTTGGAGTAAAACCAGCATTTGATTTAACATCTCAGATGAAATGCTTGCTTTTAGATAGATCACGCAACTCCTTCTTTCAGAGAATCCTAATTCTGAAGTATAAATTGCAACTGGCTTTTGAGTCGATTCATTAATCTAATCCACTGTATCAGTCCTTGTGATTGTTAGTTTAATCATCTTAATTAACTTAATTGTTCCCATGCCAGTTTCTCTATCCACATTTCATAGTTGGAAAAAAATAATTGGAGATGATTTAGCTCCCCTTTGTCCTGTGATGGGACAATATCTGAGAGATGGCTGTCCAATCTATTCATTTTATTATATTTATATCCCACCTTTTATTTTTGTACAACTCAACAAGATGTACATAATGTTCCTGCCTCCTATTTTCCTGACAAACAACCCTGTAAGGTGGCTTGGGCTGAGAAAAAGAGAGCGAGAGTGAGAGGCTGACTCAAAATTACTAGTTGGTCTTCATGGCTAAGGAAGGACTAGAACTTGCCGTCTCCTGATTTCTAGTCCAGCACCATAACCCACTACACCAATCTGGCTCTCATATTTAACCTATGCTTAAATACTTAGTAAAGAAGAGCCCACCAGGGCATGAGGTAATCTGTTTCACAGTCAATTAGCTCTTTTTCTTAGAAAGTTTCTCCTGTTTAAGTGAAATATTCTCTTAATTTCCATTCTGAGCTTCGGAGCAATAGACAATAATTCTGCCCCACCTTTTGCATATCATCCATTTATATTTTTGGAGCAGTTGCTGTGTCTTCTGGCTAAACATGCCAGATCTTTCAGCTGTTCTTGATAAGATGTTAGGATCCTTTTTAATCCTGATAGTCTTACGATCTCTTGTAATCCTTATCACATCTTCTCATGTACTGTCCCTTTATAGAAACAGCAACAAAAGTATTAGCTTCAGTTTAAGGCTTAAACTCCTTTTATTTGCTCTAGTGCCTGGATCCATAAGTAACTTGTTTATCATTATTTTTTTTCTGTTTCTTTTCTAGGTCTTCTAAATTTCAGATGTCCATATCATGGTGTTTAAAGTCTTTTTCCCTCTTTGCTGCGCTTCAGCCGAAAGTGGCCTTCTGATTGGACGATGGATTCCGGAACAGAACTCTGTTGTTATCCTGGCTGTAATCCATTTCCCTTTGATTCCTGGTCAGGTGAAGCAGTATCTCTCCAAAATGCAACACGCCACTCAAGTCCAACTGTCTGTGTTGGGTTCTTGGACTAACAGCAAAGAAAAACAGAGTCTGGAGAGGTTCCTTGAAGACCTGGGCACAATCTTTTCTCAGGGCCCCTGGATCCAACTCAGCAGAGGAAAAGGCAGCAAGTTTTGGAACTGCTTTGCCACCTGGAAGGAATCCAGCAGCAGCGATGTAGAGGAAATCATCGTGGTTTATTATGACCAGCGCAAAGTGATGCTATCGCAGCTTCACCCTCTTAACAAGTGCGTGGTTTCTTCTGACCAGACGGCAGCAGATGCTTCCAAGCTAGCTGCTGTGTTTGACACTGTTGCAAAAAGCAAGCTGCTGTTCATGAAGGATCGCTATGACGAGGGGCCCATTCAGCTCACCCACTGGCAGTCGGAAGGCGTGGAGGCCAGCATTATCATAGAACTGTTGAAACAGGTGTCTGTCCCTGCATGTGTGCTGATAACGTTCCTCCTTTCACTTGTGTCTGGCGTCTGTAAAAGCAGGTTGGTGGGATTAGTGGAAAAAAAATGATAGAAAATTATAGAATCCAAAGAATGGAAACTGTTTCCTAGTGACAGAGGGTTCACACTTAGTGGAAGCGGGTACATAGTCACTTGCTGGTGGAACACCAGCGTTTCCAGCAGCAAAAGTGTCAGAGGAAATCAAGAGAAAAGTCTTATCACCAGCCTATTCCTCCACTCCTTCATATTTATGGATGACTTAAAACAGTGCTCTTCCAGTCATGCTTGATATGTTCTTTCCTCTATCACAGAAATCCCAGGGGTGAAACTGACTTTTGCAATAAAATGGCTTGTTGACTCAGAAGTGGAAATTTAGCAGTTGCAATGCCCGGTGTTGTTGAATTGCCATCAATGCTAAGTTCTCCCAGGGTTTTGAATGGAAAATCCTGGAAGAGGGGCAAAATGCAAACCTCCCACTTGTAATTCTGAATGGATGTGAAATTCGCTTTTTGTGGGGTCCTTGGGGTTCTCTGAGCTTGGTGGTTTTCCTGCGAACGTTTCGTTACCCAGCTAGGTAACGTCTTCAGTGCTGGGTAAGTTTATACCTTAGAGCTGGGTAGGCCGTCAAAGGGGATCACAATGTACTGCCAAAAGGGATTGAAGTTTTATTTCCAGGCTGGCAAAGGGCAGTTTGATTAATTCCATTTGGATTGTAGCTTCTCAACCATTCGTGAGCAAACCTTAGCAAGCGTACCCTCGGGCTATGAAAACAGAATCCATAGGCAGGTTTCCAACTGAATAATACTGTCGTGAAAGATTACAGCTAGGGTATTCTTACTATCTGTTTGAAGTGGAAGCCTATTAGCTTTCATATGTATTTGAAATGCCTGTGAGGGAATGAAGGCCTTTTGAAAAACTACAGTCTCTTGTGCCTACAGATGACGAATACCAGCCCGGTTTAAAGCATTTTTCCATTGAGCTAATAAATGGCTATTTGTGAAGCGTTCATTGAAAGTTAGATTGTTGAACTGCTTAAATAGTGACCTGAATGCTGTTCACATCCTTAGGATTCTCACTGACACACGGGGAATCCGGGATTGGATTCTTAGGGATGATAAGAACTAATGGTCTTTTCCTGAGGTGAAAGGACAACCTACTGGGCTAGACGAGTGTTTCTCAACCTCAGCAACTTTAAGATGTGTGGACTTCAACTCCCAGAATTCCCCAGCTAGCATCCCAGCCCGCCCAGAATTCCCCAGCCAACGTTAAGATGTGTGGACTTCAACTCATGCTGGCTGGGGAATTCTGGGAGTTGGTCCACAGAACGTCCAGAGTTGTTGAGGTTGAGAAACACTGGGCTGGAGGGTCAAATTCTGTAACCTACAATAAGACAGCTGTCTACTCTCTGTATGATACCTTCATTCTTTAGTCAAAACTGCATTCTACCACGACAGTTTTTCAGTGGAAGCTAATTGAGCTTTCCCCGTAAAATTAAAAGAATGGGCATTGCAAATGGATGTCAGTTTGTATTTAAGGTGTTATATTGTAAGTTTTACCATCTAGGCTACAAAGAGCGATGTGGATCTGAGAGAGGTGGTTACCTTCATTGTGCATTTAAGGGAGAGAAAAGCGTTCTTTGATCTTTAGCACCATCTCTTGGTTAGGAAAGGTTACTTTATCTTTTTAAAAGAGTAACTTTATCTGTGAGCTTCCCCGCTGAGCATGCTGAGACACGTTTTGTGGCAAACATGTTTATCAGGATGCGCGTTAAAACGATATCACTTTGCTGCTTGTTCTTTGGGTCCGTTGTGAAGAAAAGGTAGCACAACTTGGGAAAGGTGCAAAACTGCTTGTGAATTTTTATTTTTAGGACCTGGACGGAGACAGTGGGGCCTTTACACAGGAAAGTTCTACAAAAAGTATCCAAGGCAGATAGAGCAATTGCCAAATGGTTGGATAGGCCCTTTTCGTTAGAAACAAATATAAACTTTGGAACAAGCTGAGGAAAAAATCAGTGTGGCTTCTCCGAAGGTTTTAACCATTAGTCCTTTAACATTGTTTGTAGGCTTGATCAAACATTATAGCATCACATTCCTAATCTTACATTGATCTTGCGGATCAGAAGTTGCTTAAAATGAGTACGTAGGATAAACATAATTGTACAGGGAATATGAGCAATCACACACTTGATAGAGCTATTTTTGGATAGACAAAATCTGCAACAGGATGTTACAGTAAAGTGCTAACTAGGGAAAGATACCGTTCTTTTTTCCAGAACTCTGCATTCTACTCACATTCTTTCCTGTTTTTAGCAGTACTCCTGTTAATTCACTTTTGAGTCCATTTCTCCTTTTATAGTTACTTGTGTAAAAATTTTGTTGTATTTCTGAAAGCCTTCAGATTCTCTAAGCCCTCTGGATTGTGCATTTTACACACACAATGATCTGCGTTTGGAGAATGAGTTTGCGGTTAATTTGTTCAAATTCATTTAACAGTTAAAAACATGAAATGATGAGTTCCTAAGAACCTACAGGTAGTCCTCTCTTAACAACCTTAATTGGGACCAACAACTCTGTCACTAAGCGATGCGGTCATTAAGTGAAACACCACTTAATGCTCTGCTTAGCAACAACAATTTCAGCAATCCCAGTTGCTGTCCTGGAGCGAATCCTACCTATTTCACCCCATCTCTGCCCTTTTGGCTGCCTGCCAATGGGTTTCCCCGGGTCATTCCAACACCGTCATCACACTGCCTCTTAAGTATGGCCTGTTTCACCTTATTACTGAGTTTATATAGGACAGGGCAACAACGGTTTGGGTGGCCATTCCAAATCATGCTTCCATCGCTTGTTCGAAAAAACATTCTTCAGTACGTTTGTCAACTGAGAGATTGAACATTTATTTAATAAATGTTTCCTTGTTAATCAGGATGCCATTCTATCAACAAAAAAAAAAGACGAATAGAAATAACAGTTTAAACCCCCCTTCTGCAATTAGAAAAAGAAAGAACATTTCCATACATTTCTAGCCACTAGCGAAATAGAATGCAGGCACGCTACTTTGTGCTTTAAAATTTCATTGTACTGAGATATAGTCCCATTATTTACAGTCAGAAGGAGTTTGGCTGCAGCTCACAAAAGCTGATGCCTTTAACTAAAATGTGTTGGTCGGCAAAGGTGCTATCAGATTCTTCCTGATTTCTTTCCGCTGTAGACCAACGTGGCTCTCCTCCTACCAGGTCCCGTTGTTTGTAATTCTGAAATAAGAGAAGAAAGGAAACGGTGGTTCTGTGTGTCTCCCAGTTCACCTCTCCGGGATGAGCTGCTGGCTCAAACGAGCCTCTTAAGGCTCCAGCCGAGCCCCCCGGGCTTCCCTCTGTCACTTCAGATGTTATCACCAGCAGGCCAGCCAATTCCATAGCAGAGCGTTCGGTTTTTGCTCCTGGGAGGTTGGTGACATCCCCTGGGATTACTCGGGCGAGCTGAGCTGAGAAAAAATGTCACTCCATTGCGCTTGACAAGGATGCCCCTTGTTTATCGGATAGGCAGGAAGAGATGGGTTGCGAGGAATTGGGTTTTAGCCTGACAAACCTTTTGTGAAATGTAGCTCAAAAGTCCCAGAGGGCTGCCCACCCCCCACCAACAAGCCTCCTTGGTTTTCACCAGCCGCATGGTTATTCCTGACGCCTTTGAGTGATAAACGGGGCATTGACCAGGTGACAATTAGAACGTGTGACTGGCAAGGACCCTAGCCCTGCTGGCACTCGGCACCGTCTTTCTTCTGGAGGCTCCTGGCTTTGTGGACTAAATGATAGATAATGACAGAGGAAGGAGATCTGAAACTTCAGAGGGACTATCTGGACTCTGAATTCAGAACTGTTGGGATTCTAGTTCTTTGAATCGAAGACTGGGGGCTTGAACAAGGGATGGTGATACCTTTGCATGTAAAGCTTACAGAGGTTATTTATTCCAGTTTATTCCTATACAGTGTATTTGCAGCAATCAGTTCAATTCTCGGGGGCAAGGACCATCTCCTAATGGCTTTGTATATCACTTGTGTAATTTGATTTTACAGACCTCAGTATTTTATCCAGCATATCTGTTCTGCTATCCTGATATTAAAGACTAGATCCTTTAAACGGTGTTAATGAAAACACAGCCCTTGTTACTTCCAAATATTGATTTTAGCTCCAGGAGTTGCTCTTTATCACACTTGGGGACATAATTTATTGAAGGGCATTTGGGGGAAATAACCCCTCAGAACTGGCCTTTGGGAGATGCCACAGTGATCCATCTAAAACTGCAGCATTGGTTTTGAAGTGTCATATAATACAGAACTATCAGAACAATGCCAGTTTATTGTCCAAGTGAGCGATGGCACATTTCAGTCGACCTTCCGAGGCAAGATTCCCTGCCTGTGGAAAACTAGGATGTCAGGGAGTTAAGTTTTGATTTAGATATTAGTCTGTTACAGTCAGCTATTTCTATTTTCAATCCAAAGGGAGTTTTGCATAGGAAGGCCACTTAGTGTTCAACCTCCATATCTTCAGTCTGAAAAGGAATAATTCAGCAAATGATAAGCCATCCAGTATTTTTGAGGAACAGACCAGATAAGGGTTAAAACCTAGTAGCAGCAGGGTTTCTGGTTTTAAAACTTCATGGCAGGAGGAGAAATAAACCTGATTCAGTTTCACTTCAGTAGTCATCCTCTCTGAGACAAACCATGAATTGGGGATAGCAAGCTCTGGTTGCTAAACAAGCCAGCAAAACAGCCCAGACTTAGATTACATTTTAAAAATATCTGTATCGGGGGTGTCTGCAGAGTGTGGTCAAGACAGGCACGGTGGTGTGATTGAAGTTCATCCTGTTTTTTATGTGCATTGCACCCCCAGGCAGAACTTCTATCGCATCATCATGGCTGCCATCTTAACTTTGTGACCACACCCTGTGGTCACTCCTGCTGAACGAGACTTTTTGCTTTCTCTCCCCTGACCTGTTGGTGAACACGGACAGGCCAAAGAAGAGCTGCAAGCTTTCCAACTCAACATGAAGACTGTACTTCTTCCAATTATTTTCCCAGCTGCTCATCCCTCCGCGTATCCTTGCAGACTGAACGATCCCAGAAATGTCCCACCGCGGAATCGCAAGCAGCAATTTGAAAACTCTAAGCTTAAAAGTCAGGCATAGGTCTAAAACACCCGGAGAAGTAAAGATGCTTTTGCCTAGCACCAAAAGGAATCCTACGTTGCTTTCTGAGAAGGAAGTTCTGAGAGGCAGGGTTGTCCTTCGTTAGCAATGTTGGTTTCATCGGGGAACATGCTTGTCTTTTCCGCAGGGCGCTGACATTTTGGCCCCTGTCTTTCATCTGGAGCAAACTCTCAACCTGTGAGCAGTTGAGGCATCGGTTCCAGCACTTCCAGATCATCAGCAATGAGAAAGCGGCTCCTGATCAGACCCAGCTGATGAGGTAAAAATTCTGCGGCGCGAAATGAAGAGTTCAGTATCCTAGTAGCCCACATGACAGATATCAAAATATATGATGACATTTGCATCAGTATGCACTGTTTATTCCTCTTGCTATTATTAGGGTTGGCTGAGATCCAGAAAGCTACTCTGAAAATGCCCAAAGGGCACATGAACTCCTCCCCCACCCACATTGCTCGGCTTAGGGAAACTGATAGATGGGAGACTTGCGATGCACGCAGTTGAATATGATTTCAGCGTAAGAAAATCTAGTTCTCGTAGCCTTCAAGACCTTTGCAAATCCTTGTGAGCAATTTGTAGTCAGATCTCAGCAGCCACAAGTCTGGGTCAAGAGGTCCAATCCACTGTACTTCCTTCCCCTCCCTAACACCCAATATAACTTGAGTGTGTTCTCTGAAACACTCTTGCTGGTGGGGATCTCTCACCAGACAAACTATAGGCCAATTCAGATTGCATGGGAAACCATAGTTTCCTGTTATGTTAATTTGGTTGCAAGAATCTTGGGTTTAAGGTCTCCCTCCCCATCCCTTTCTTTCCACTTGCTCAGCTGCAGGGAGGTAAACCATGTTTGCTTCCACTTTTAGACCAGCCACACTTCTCAATGACATCCATTTGCAGCAAACTGTAATTGGTTAGAGCAAGTTGGGATCTAAAAGTAAAATTTTCTCCTGGCTCATAGTAAGAAATTGCAGGTCTTTGTTTCAGCCTGTAACAAGAAACTGTGGTTTGTGAAAAACGACAGCCTCCTGTTAGGGTTGCACAAGAGGAAGGAGAGAGAGAGAAAGAGAGAGGAGTTTATAAGCCTAAGACATGATCACATAGTAGGGAATTTAGTCTCTCAGTAGGTTTATGTGCAAAGAGCTCCCTGGGGGAAAAAAAAGTACTATCTTGATAGTGTGATATTGACTTTGTATGTGTGTGAGGGAGCGAGAAGGTTTTTTAGATGTAAGATGGAACTTTCTGTTTCCCAAAATATAGTCATGTGTGTGGACATGCTGTCATTGTTTCTGGAAACATGCTGTTCCATTGTGTTTATGTTTGATGTTGCTGCACCTGAGAAACTCACATTAGGCTGGATTTTCTTTTTCCCTTGCTGCTGCCCCCGTACCACTGCCCACACAACTTCCATTTCTATGTAGCGAGAGAAAGTTGCCCAGGAAACAAGGCTGGCAAGCCAACACTGGCACAGCTGTGAGGAATATCTGTAAGGCATCTGCCCTTGCCCTCTGCATGGTTGCGGAAACCTCAGCTGCCTTTTGAGAAGTGAATTCTGCCTTTCCTTTTATGCCACTTATATATTTAGAGCAGTGTTTCTCAACCTTGACGACTTTAAAATGGGTGGACTGGGGAATTCTGGGAGTTGAAGTCCACCCATTTTAAAGTCGTCAAGGTTGAGAAACACTGATTTAGAGTGTCCCTTTGCAGAGAATCCTGTGGAGGAATGAAGAGGTTCTGGAAAGTGGCTTTGCTTGGATAGCCTGTCCAATCCTAGGGAGGAGCACTTACCTGTGCCTTGATAGGATGCCTGGATTGTCAAATCATGATCTGCAATTAGATGAAAGCAAGGAAATTAGAAATCCTGATTTACAGGCCATGGTTTGTGCTTTCTAACTAAGGTTTGGTTGAAGAAAGAATTGACAGTTCACCTTGGTGGTGGCTGCTTTTCTTTAGAGGTTCCTGTGCCTGGAGCAATTGGGAAATGAAAGAAGACCAGCTACAATCTATAATTTTGACTTTACATTAGAAGAAAAATGAAACTAGATTTAGACCCTCCCATTGTACTAAACTGTATGGTGGTTTGCTTGACGTTGGCTTAATACATTGTATGAAACCACAGCCATTGTGTTTTCTAAACCATGGTTTATGGTGTAGCATGTTAGGATAATCTAGCCCATGGTGCCTTATTCAAGAAATGATGATGTGTTCAGTGTGTAAACTTGGTTCTCATCCTAAAAAAAAGTTTGGATGTATCTGTATTTTGAGGAACATTTAACTGTACCTGACATGGCAAACAATGTTCTCCTCTGTGCAGAAAAGCCAATATCTTTGTCTCTCTCCTCATTGACGTGGCTCTGGGTATTCTGCTCATGTCCTGGTTGTATCAGAAGAACTGGACTGGTTATCTTGCCAGTGCCCTCGTCCCAGTGGCTGATGTAAGTTTTCTCTGTACATCATGTGCTGAGGTTTAACTCTGTCTTTCCCCACCTGGTGGCATCGTTCTTGGGGAAGTCTGCGAAAACCAAAACAGTGGCCTGGTTCACACACTGTCAGGCCCAGACCAAGAACAACAGGGAAACAGTCCAACAGAATTCAGTTCCTTTATTGCTTACACCATATAGACAAAATCTTGCCAGACTAAATCTGTACTACTCTAACCTAGTGGATATAGCTTGGGAGATTCTAGGGAGTGGCTATCCTAAATCTCTTCCTCTTCCCACGCTCCTGCTCCAGACTGTGTTGTCTCTTGTCTCCCCACTGGAATGCGCTTCCTCCTTCCAGAGAACCTGGATCTCTACTGCATTCCATCACACCACCTCCCCCTTTGTAGATACATTCCATCGCATACACCTAGCTGAGCCATCGTGTGGCTTGGTTGTAACTGTGACACCCATCGTGGCTATGAACTAGACCACCACAGCTTGTTTAGCAAATCTTGGTTTAAATTCTCCCCTGGGTTAACATCATGTGTGCATGTAGTCAGTGTCCAGTCCACATGGGTATGGTGGTGAGTCATTCATGCCCCCGCTCTCTGCCGCCTTGTGACTATCCTTAGTGGAAGAGCTGCAGTGCAATAGAGAGCAGACCAGCTTTCTTATCTAGTAAGCAATCATTACTCGGATGCTGGTTCAAAGATACAGGCACCTTCCTGCCCCCTTTGCTTCAGTGGAGCATGGGCAGGAGAACTTTCTAATGGCTTGTGCTGCATGTTAGCTAGTGCACAGGAAACTTCTGTTGGCTTTGCATCTCGGGCCTCTTCTGCCATCAGATACGCTTAATAATTGCAACTGAAGCCCTGGGCTACTTCAGGTTTCTTTCCCTCTGATCCAGGCTCAAGTAATTCTCCTGGATTGCATCCAAAGGCTGTGTGACCACTGTGTCCCTGTGGACTGACATGCAGAGCAACAGTCGTCAGGAATTTCAGAGGGTTCTGCCACAAAAATACTTCACTCGAGGAGCTTTATATTGTTCACTGTTTTATAAAGGCATCACAGTTTCTACATTACTCAAGTAAAATCTCCTAAGCAAAATCTCTCTCTGATGGAAGTCAGCCATGATACTGAATTGTCCTAGATCCCAGCCAGGCCTCAGAGAGAGGAAGATTTATTATTATTATGGTTGGTCGCACAGTCAGCCAGTTGTTTAGACTGGATTTGGCATTTTTATCCACCTATCGGGTCCTTCCCAAGGACCTGGGATAGGCAGATGTTGTTTGATGGTGTTAAAGGTATCATCGCAGGATATAAGCTGTTCCAAGTAAAGCTGCCTTTTGCAATGGACTGATGGTGATTTTGTCAATGCCAATGATGATGATGATGATTCCTATGATGAATGTCATCGCAGGATATAAGCTGTTCCAAGTAAAGCTGCCTTTTGCAATGGACTGATGGTGATTTTGTCAATGCCAATGATGATGATGATGATTCCTATGATGAATGTCATCGCAGGATATAAGCTGTTCCAAGTAAAGCTGCCTTTTGCAATGGACTGATGGTGATTTTGTCAATGCCAATGATGATGATGATGATTCCTATGATGAATGCTTGTGGCTTTTGACTGCTAAAAGCTATGTGGCAAATATATACATGACCTTTCAGGCCATAAATCGTAAGAACTTGTGATCTGTAGCCAAATACTGAATTGGTTTATTTTAAACTGGGATAAAAAATTACATCCCTCGTGTAAAATTACATTCCTTGGCTCTTCTCCCCCCGCCTCTCTAGCTTCCGTTCCCATCAACGCTCCTTATCCCCTCCAGTCACTGGGCACTAAAGAAGTCGCTCTTCCCTCAGTCCAGCTGACCGTCTGCTGCTTTCACACTAACTATGCTACCGGTCAGCATCTACACCCCCTTCCAAATAAAGTACAAATACAATCACAACACAAAAAGGGCTGAGTGCCATATTTGTTTTTACTTTAGCTTGAGTATATATGAATCTGAGCCGGTTGGAATTCTCTGCCTGCCCATTTTCCACTCTCAAGTGGCTGCATGGATTTTCCCAAGGTTAAAATTTATACTGTCAGCATGGTAGATACTGATGGCACAGCATTTGTCATGGGCTGTGAGAATAACTTTGGGAGACAGGAGAAAGAGATGCAGCCAGGATAACAATCAGATAAGAGATATCTCAGCCCACAGCAAAAATGGGAGTAGAGAGAGCATCTCAGAAGGGACCCTCCCTACTTCTCCAGACAGTAAAGGCAAGGAGGGGGGGGAAGCGCTTTCAGGCTTGCAAGATTCTGTTACTGTAACCTTACAATAAAGGTAGTGTTAGTATGCACGGTTTTGGTTTCCTGTTTGGGCTACCTCCAAGGGCTGACATCATTGCACAGGGTAGGTGGGAAGGAAGATGAGGAAAAAGAGAACAAAAACTTCCAGGATATTTTAGCTTTTTTGAAGGTCATGCTTTACGGGCACGATCAAACTGTTTTCCACTAACTGCTGCTGCTAATCTCTTCCTTTTCGGCAGCATATTGCCCAGCAGCTCCAGAACCTCCTGCAGTGGCTAATGGGTGTGCCAGCTGGTTTAAAAATGAACAGAGATTTGGATCAGGTGCTGGGCCGTTTTTTTCTTTACCACATCCACCTCTGGATTAGTAAGTGCCTTTTTACTTCTTTATCTGTGACATGACAAAATCCTTTGTGCCAGGGAAGAAGAACCAGCTGATGCCATCTGATATTTTGGACTACAGATCCTATCATCCTTGATCACTGATTTTGTTGGTTGGCAGGCACCAGGCTGGAGAAGGCAAGAACTGAACACGCATGAATGTGTTGATGAATGATGGGCCTCTTGTAGAGGTTCTAGAAGCTGTGTTCTGGAACTAGGAGCCTAATATCCGAGGCTAAGCCATGACACCTTAGGGCTGGGTGTCCCATTCTTGCTATGCAACTCTCTTGGATACCCAACAAGCACATGCTATTCTCTTACAAGGGTCGTGCTTGTCTGTTCTTTGTACTGTTGGTGAGATACAAAGGGTTTGTCTTTTGAGGCTGTGTTTTATTTATTGTTGTCATTGTTCAGTGATTCCAAACTCTTGATGACCTGATAGAACATTGTTTCACCAGGATTGCCTGGCTGTTTCTTTACATTTTTATAGGCTCGGACTTGGGTCACCAGTGATAGTATCTAGCCCATTCCTTTCAGTCTCTTTTTCTGTTGCCTTTGATTTTTCCAAGCCTCAGGGTCTTCTCCATTGACTCTTACCTTTGTATAATACATCCACAATTTCTAAGTGTTAGCTTCACGGTTGGTGCTTCCAGTAAGCAGCCTGGTGTTACATCATCTGAATTATTGGTTCTTCTTGCTGTCCGAGGTACTCTCTGACAGGCAAAGTTGTATTCAGGTAGCAGCTTTCATTTGTTTCCCAACAAGCTATATAATCTTATGGGGGTCATTTCCACAATCAGTTCGTAAGAGATTTGATGTTTGTCCTGGTGGGGGGGATGGAAAGTTAATCTTTTGGAGCTATTTGTGGTAACTCTCATTAAAAAGAGAAGGTGCTCTTTTTAAGGGTGGTTGTTTCCTTTTTCCCACTGTTCAGGCTATATCCATCTGATGTCTCCATTCATTGAGAAGATCCTGTGGTATGTTGGCTTGTCAGCTTGCCTCGGCCTGACCGTGGCCCTTTCCATCCTCTCCGACATCATTGCACTCCTGACGTTCCACATCTACTGTTTTTATGTCTATGGAGCCAGGTGGGTGTGCTTGGCTCTCTGCTACTGGCAAAGAAGTTCTTTTCACTGTCTGCTCACTTTTACAGAATGGGAGAACAACTGTTTTTTGTGGTTGTAGACAAAGACAAGACATCAGCCCGCCTAAAAATCTTTCCAGTCCCATAAACTAAGGTTCTCAGACCAGGAGCAGGCCGCAGCTCCTCCTGTCCCATCTCGCCTGTGCCTTAATTCAATAGTTTCAGTTTGGTTAAACCGTATGACTTATGATCTGGCAAATTGTATTTTGGACATAGATGTTAGAGAACACTAATACCAAAAACTGGTTTCCTTTAAAAAAAATGTTACCAGAACAATAATTGAAAAGTCGTACAAGCTTGCACAAAAGAAATGCAAGCATATCATAAGAGGTTGGAAAAACAAGCATTATGGAAAGCATATCACAAATAAATTAAGGGAAATGGGCAGACAGATAATGAATGAGGAAGATAATGCAGATTAAAAATATCATTCTCAGCTTACTGATAAATCAAAAGCAAACATTCAAACATCACCAGACCCAGACAATATATTTCCTAGATATCTTCTAGCAAAATTGAAAATGTCCCAAATATTGACTGCCCCATCACCTTTGCATCTGTCCAACAAGCTTGCCAAAAAACACCAGTATTAGCTTCAGCAGCAAAGAAACAAGCAAATAGTTGCCAGTGAATTCAGTTCCCTATCCTTTCATTAGTGAACCTGCTTTATGGATTGATTTCCACTTGAGAAGACTTTTTTTTAGTAGCAAAACCCAAAACAAAACAGAAACCCACTCTTTGGGGAAGCAAGTCATGGGAATCACATTGTTTGCATATGTGGGAATTTTCTCATATGTCAGTTAGTTCTCAGACTGTTTCCTCCCCATTGCCCTGACCTCAGGATCTCATATTACCCTTGCTAAGCCCAGCAGCCAACCCACACAACTTTCCATTTTCAGTAGATACGTATGTAGGAAACGTTATTGCTATCCTATACAGACTGCGGCTGTGTCTCGTGGCTAGAGATTCCTGGCTTCTTACAAGCACTGTCCCACCCAAGTGAGCAGTCCTAACCCCAATCACCCATTTGGCAGCACCCAGAGCATAATCTAAATTGTGCAGCCGAAACCACCAGAGTATTAGACTGGCATGAGATGCTCTTAACACCCAGGTTCATATCTAGGCATGTTGCAGTATCTTGCACTACCTAAAATTTCCAGACCTTCAGGGGCTGCGTCGCATATCATGCTTTGCAGGTATCTGAAGCTCTTAGCTCTTGTTATTTGAATGGACCCACTAGAACAAGAGCTGTAGATAGGGGTCTGGGGTTTTACTTCAGAGCTGTCCTGATTTTCTGTTTTCCTCCTCTGGACTTAGGCTGTATTGCTTCAAGATTTATGGCTTGTCATCTCTGTGGCGCCTGTTCCGTGGGAAGAAGTGGAATGTCTTGAGGCAACGAGTAGATTCCTGCTCCTATGACCTAGACCAGGTAGAGGCTCTCTGGGAGCACAAGCAAAGCAGTGGTGGTGGTGGAGGACGGCGGTGGTGTGTTCACCAACACACTTCCAGCTGCATTTGGAAAGGGTTGAATTTGGTTTTATTCCCAGCAGCAATGGGTCTGTAGGGTTACTAATGTCTCAGGGGGAAAAAAAATAGCTACAATTACATTCTCTGGGCATGGCAGGGAACCATCAAGCATCACGAACACTGTGAATGCTGGTGAATGTCAGGAACACGCAAGTCCAGGCACACTCCTTGCCAGATGCAGCCTGTTTATTACTGAACTCTGAATGTCGCCGTTCTCTCCTGGCCCATTTTCAGACAATTATAGCCGAAGGGGGCTTAGTCTTAAGAGACCCCTGCAGCAGGTGCCTGGTGCTATGTAAGTCAAAGCACAGGCGTGATAATGGGTTGGCGGTAAGGAGGGAAGCAATTTGAGTCAAAGACACCAAATAATTACAGCCATACCCAACAGCGTTGCCATAGTTACCTGCTGATTTGTGTTTCTATTAAAAGCCCCCTGTTTCGTGGGCTTTTTGATGGGAGCTGGGCCCACACATTTCCAACAGGATGGTTGGGGTTATGTATTTATTTGTGACAAAGTACTGTGCTTCTCTTTGCTTTTTTGCCCCGTGTTAAATGTCAAGGCAGCTGCATGATCAGTAGCTAGGCTTCTGGCTCTGCTAAGTTTCTCGAAAGAAAAGGAGTGAAGGCTAAGTCTAGAGAAACCTCTGATCCACTCTGTTCAGTTCTTTGGTCAGCCTGTAGACAGAGATCACTAGAAGAGCAGGTGGGCAGATGAGATTTTCTCTCCTCCTGCTTTTCTCCCTGGCTGTTTCAACTCTTTCAAGTGGTTCTGATAGCTCTTCTCTGAGAGATATTCCCCTGGCTAAGGAGGTGCCACCAGTGATACATTCTTCCTAAAAAGAGTTCAAAACACAGTTTCCAGCTGATGAACCTTTTGCTTTGATTTTCCCGAGGCCATTTGAAGAACTTGTGCTTCTTTGGTGGCAAATGGGATGATGGCTTTGTTTTCTTGTCTCCACAATGGGATGCTACATCAACTGAAAACCTACTCCAAACTGTAGCATTACTAAAACTCCCCTCGTCTCCTACCTTGGGTTAGATTCTGTCTTTCCTGGTGTTCAGAGGGTGAGAGAATGTGTAGCCATCATGGGTATTCATACATTTAATACTTTACTAATTTAAAATCACCTAAACAAGTGGCATCTTTCTTCCTGACCAACTCCTTCCCATCTCATTGGTTGGTTGGTTGGTTGGTTGAGTTCCATCAGGTCGGTGTCAACTGTTAGCAACCACATAGATAGATTATCTCCAGGAGGATCTGTCCCTCACCTGGCCTTCAGACCTTCCAACAGTGCTTCCACCTTGCTGCTGGTCATCCACCTTGCTTCAAGTCCTTCCACCTTGCTGCTGGTCATCCTCTTCTTTTCTTTCCTTCCCTGCT